GCCCTAAGTCTGGACAAAAGATCCCTTTCCATGAGTTTGGCTGGTATATCCCAAAGGCGTCCCCTGTCTTGTCAGTGGCATGCCTACTCACCAACAACCCTATCCCCATTTATTAAAATAACAAGTTCAGTTGGTCAAACAAAAATTAAAGAGAAGCAGAAAATTTGGGAAAATGATTAACTTATACATAACATACCAAACAAAATCCAAACCATTTTATTTGATGGCTTTCTCCTTGATTCCAGTGATCATGGTGACTCTCACAATAGGAGTGGGCAAAATCAAACTGCCACCTTTATACTTGTAAAAACATACTCTTATTGAGCTACACTCCTTTAACCTAGGGTGGGTTATATGGGCAAAAGCCCCCATTTAAATAACAACAAATTTAGTTGATAAAACAAAAATCAAAGAGAAACAGAGTATTTATGAAAATGATTAACTTGTACAAAACATACCAAACAAAATCCGAACCATCTTTATGACTTTTTTCTTGTTGGCCATATTGCTGACAAAGATGTATATAATTTTAAACTATAGAACAGGGGAATGATTGGGCAAAAACCCAATCCAGTCCCCTACCCAAAATTATAAATTGGTTAGTATCAGAGAAATAGAGAGCATTTATGAAAATGATTAAACAAAACAAACACTATTTTACAACTTCCCTCTTAACATCAGAGTCCAAATGCAATATCAACCTGCTCTGAATTGCAACCTTCTGTGCTTGGAACGAATTGCAGATTCTCTTGATATTCATCAGCAGAGTTGCAACATCTTGGTCACAGTGCCATCCTTGCCATAGAGGTGGGATCGTTGCAGGTAACTTTTCATCTAGCGTGCCAGCAGCCATCTCTGATCTGGGAAGATTAGTGAAAGCGTCATTGACGATTGATGCAATCTTGGTAAACTCCAGGCTACGCGGTCCCCCCTCGAGTTCGGTTACATCGTTGTATCATCGAGGAATGCAAGTCAGATTAGCCTTATGTACACAAGGAACGAGTGAATGACTGTAAAGTGTTCAAGGTAGCGTGCGTGGTTCAACGCCTGCTATTTTTCTGATAATCAAACATTGCATATCAAAATGTTTCGTATTTGAAATGTCTCTTTTTCAACGGTGTGCTGCCTTGACATGTAATTATAATAATATAATATTATTATTATGGATTACGAAAAGCAAATATTTTCAATGAAAATCTTGTAATTACCCAGCAAGATCTGCTCCGCGTTTTGATTTCCAATTAAAATATCTATAATAATCAAAAAATATCAATACAAATAAAAAAAAGTACCTCTGGTTAGTTATTAACACGTATTCTTTAGGAGACCCAAACCAAACCAAACAACAACGTTCACGTTTTGTCACCTTGGACTCTGTCAAAAAATAAATCGTTTTTTGTTTTTCCAAAAAAAAAATCAATTCGCGTCTGTCCTACCAAAAAAAAAACCAATAGGATAAATAATTAGTGTGTACGCGTCGATCAATTAAACAAACTTCTTAAAAATTAAAAATTAATAAACAAAATGTCCCAAGGAACGAGAAAAAGAAGAAGCGAAGACGAGCGCGTTGAAGCGCAAATTGAGTAAGTGTTTTAAGGATGGCGATGGTGGTTATCGCCCGCCACTCATCGTCACTCTAGTTAATATCAATAAAATGACTGACAAAACATCAAATTTTAACAGGGATTCGAATAACACTAGTGATAATCTTACTTTTATGGATGTAATTAGTAAGCGTTGTCTTTATTTTTGTAGTTAAAAGAAATTGAAAGTTTACGTGTTCCATGTGCATTTTTTGGGATGATTAATTTTTTTATAGACAGTTTAGTTATAATAACAATGTTTAACTTTTTTTAGATATTTCTGTGTCAGAATACTTCCAAAATACCACACCTACAAAATGGTCATTTGATAATTTTTTAGAAACGATGAAACCTTTCATCATGAAAGAAAAGAAAAATACAGATGAACTATCCTCAATATGGCGTAAAAGATTTATAAATGCACTTAAAATCACAACTAATAATGCAGAAACAGACCAGACAGCTCGGCAGATTGCAACATTACTCATAAATCAAGTATAGTATAATCTTTTTTTTATTTTAGTACATGTGCAGCTCAGGGGGGTGCCATTCCTCTGTTGTCTTGCAGACAATCCTATAGAAGTGCTGCTCTTCTAAGGATTCCTGGTGATGATGTGCTGTTCCTCGTGCAAATAAATACTAAAAATACTTTAAAAAAAACTATCAGTATAATATAATATGGAATAACTATTCTTTTTTCATTCATTTGTTCAAGAAACAATCCAGCACTATTACAAAGTTCTGGAAGCAGTTAAAAATTGATAAAACTTATGAAAGCGCTCAAGAGAGACTTCAGAATAAAAAGGTTTGTGATCATTTTGAAAAAGTTATTCTTGCAAATTATATATTGATTATTATTATGTTTTATTAAAAGTTCTTTGCATTGTAGTCTATATTCAAGGTAAACTCGCAAATTGATGCACCAGACATTTTGGAGGTTTTTAGAACATATCAAACCATTCAAGTTACTAGTGAAACCAACTTTCAAAACTCTAGTTCAGTCATTGAAGTAATTAGTTATATAATTTGATATATCATATATGACTATAATAGCTATAGTACTTAAACTAATAATTTGCATCAAAAACTTCTTACAGAATGAAAATGACAAGAAAAGGACAAAAGAACCATCAATAAAAGAGACAGAAATAAAACAAGCTTGTAATGAAAAGGATAAAGTAAGAACTTAAATTTTAATTATATTTATATTTTATCAAGATTGTTATTTTTTTAACTTCTTATTTGCATTATATTGTTTTGACAAGGGTTTCAATCCATTTTATCATGTTAACGAATCTCCCACTCCAATGTATTTGCCATTGTCAGAATCTCTCATCATTACACCAAATAAACCAATAATTTCTCAGATGATGTATAGTCAGTATCACGCACACATAATTTGTGCGTTCAACACTACACTTACATATCTCAAAAAATCTCTTGATAACAACACATATGAAAGCATCAAAAATACCATTTATTGTGGGAAAAAATTAATAATCAAGGATCACATAGTTGCTAAACTTAATAAAATATTTGAATGTGACTATTCTAAAGTTGAAGATACTATAATTACTGTGACGAAAATTGTAGATGATCAATCTGATGATTCAAAATTCATTTATTTTATCAGACATTCTCTTTTGGATTTTGTTGCTAATTTCAAATATATAACACCAAGAGCATTAGATAGATCAATGTATGAAAGATCTTACATTGTAGAATGTCTATCACCAATATTTCGTTCTTTTCGGAATTCATACCCAGAAATAAAATATCACTGGATAGAAAAGATCGTTGAGTCAATTAGTGGAACAAATGAAATGTTTATGTGTGATATTGACCAGCGTAAGACGGACATATCAATTGTTAGAATTTCTGATGAAAAAGAGATACTAAATGTAGAGGTCTCAGGGCCACCATCTAGAAACACTAAAGATCACACTGTTGGAGACATTAAAAAGTTATTATCTATGGCCGTCTGTAGTTTATGTTGTTCCCTTGGTGACTATCTAGATTGTAGTATCGAAGATGCTAAAAAAATTAAATCATATAGCATACAAGTAATTGGTAACAGACTTACATTATTTGCAGTTTCCTTATTTGATAAAAAGAAATATTTGGCAATAGAACTTTCATCATGTACAATTCCATTTTCATATGATTCAATATCATGTTATATGAAAATTTTTAATTTTTTCGCAATTATAAGAAAAGAATTTCTAGAACAACAAGAACTGTACAAAAAATTTGGTTCTTTCCATCCTACTGATAATAGCACAGAAAATTTACGTGAGTGGCTTCATCCACCAGATGTTAACTTATATCCATCAAAAGAAGATATTGATGATACAATATTTTTTATGAATTAGATTGAATTATATAGTTTAACAATTTTCGTTGGATTTTTGCATATAATAACAAATTATTTTTAAAGAGATCAAAATGGTTGAACATACTCAATTAACTGAACTTAGATGTGGAAAATTATTAGTTTAAGAAATATTCAATATATTAATAGATAGTATGTTATGAAGGGTTAATTTTGCTTTAAGAAATAAAGAAACTTGACAAGATGCCAAATTTTTTAAGTAAACATTGACCGATTTTTTTAAAATAATTATATGCAAGTTTTATGTTGAGTTATTGAGGAAAACGACAGTTGAATCTTTTCTGATGAATCAATTTACTAAACATCCTAAAAATTTGTAGCAGCTAGATTCAAACATGATGAACATGTTTTGCTTGTGATGCAAAGGATGTCAAAACTTGCTATTTTAGTTGATTTTCAAGTTAAAGATTTTTTGAGAATTCTGAATTTTTTTCAATTTTTATTCCATGTTTAGTCAATTATTTTTGATGATCTGCAGGATGTGTTATATTAATATGGGGAGTTGTCAAAAATGAGCTTTATTTTTTATAAATCATTCTTTCGTTATTATTTGCTATTAAATAAAAATATCTGTGTAATATATAATATAAAAATTAATTGGTGAAAATATTGGATCATGGAAAAAATGTGACATTTTGAAATATTTCAAGTTTCTTTATTATCTTTTATTATTTATCAAGTAATATTTTAATAATAATAATAATGCATGATAACCCTGTAATCTTTTGTGGTACAAATGTTCACTTTGTCTGGTTTTGTTGCAGCATGCCCCATATTAATAAATCTCTACAAAATTTCAAAATCTATCTCGTCCACCAATATTACACCCACAGTTATAAAAATAATATC